TGTCTGCTTCTACTTCCACAAGCTGCTGGATGAAGGCTATAGGATGGCGTATAAGTCAGTCATCAATCTTATTATCAAGGTAGGGTATTTAAGGTAGCCTCTCCTCTGTTGCATGTATGTCTCTCTTAGGTATAAGTCAGTCATCAATCTTATTATCAAGGTAGGGCATTTAAGGTAGCCTCTCCTCTGTTGCATGTATGTCTCTCTTAGGTATAAGTCAGTCATCAATCTTATTATCAAGGTAGGGCATTTAAGGTAGCCTCTCCTCTGTTGCATGTATGTCTCTCTTAGGGTCCTCCTTGTTTACTAGTTCTCTGGCAGTGTGAATTGTAGGCTGGTAATCCTTTACTCTATGTCTAAAATCCACATATGAGTGAGTACATACATGTTTGCCTTTTTGTGACTAGGTTACCTCGCTCAGAATGGTTTCTTCTAGTTCCATCCATTTGCCTGTGAATATCAAGATTCCATTGTTTTCTTTTTTTTCTGCTGAGTAGTACTCCATTGTGTATATGTACCACATTTTCTTTATCCATTCTTCAGTTGCAGGGCATCTAGGTTGTTTCCAGGTTCTGGCTATTACAAATAATGCTGTAATGAACACAGTTGAACAGATGCCCTTGTTGTATAAATGTGCTTCTTTTGGGTATATGCCTAAGAGTTCCCCTCTTCTCTTCTCTTCTCTTCTCTTCTCTTCTCTTCTCTTCTCTTCTCTTCTCTTCTCTTCTCTATTCTTCTCTTCTCTCCTCTCCTCTCCTCTCCTTTTCCTCCTCTCCTCTCTTTCTTTTCTCTTCTCGTCATGTCTTGTGCACCTCAGCAAGAGGTTCTAACCCTGACTACCCTCCAGCCCCTTCTACTCTCTCTCTCTCTCTTTTAGTTCCTGGCTGGAGGATGTGAGCATCTCCCTCTATCATGTGTTCCTACAATGAGGTTCTGCCTTACTGCATCCCAAAACAATTGCTCAAATCTACCATGGACTGAAACTTCTCTCTTTAAGCTGATTATCAAGGGTATTTTGCTACAGCAACAGAAAGGAGAGAAGCACACCCATAGTCCGAATTTTGTTACAATGGAGACATACACAAAAATGATTATTATGGGGATGTGAACGTTTCAGGGAACCTCATTCATGCATGAATCCCACATCAATGAGCATATTCAGGTAGGACTTGACTTAACAATGTCCAAAGGTGGAGAAAGGACGAAGAGCTAGATTGCCAGATTTGTGCTCCCTACTTCCAAGCATATAAAAGTAGACGAGAACTACAGTGACTGCTGTCATCAAGCCATATCCATGAAGGTGAGCAGGCCACCCCTTTTGAGAATTCAGCTCTCTCATCCCAGTGGGCTCATCAGAGTGACAGCTAAACAATGGGAACTGCAGAAGTGTCCAGAGAAGATGTTCCGTTTCCCTCTGGGACTCATGACTCAGCTTATTCCCATGAACCCATATGACTGCTATCTGACTGTTACGAAACTTTGAATACTCGAGGATCAAAAGAATCTGTGAATCCCACAATTAGACACCAGGGCTCTAGGATATACCCATCCCAAACTTCCTACTACTTCTGCTCCCCTAATCTTCATTTTAAAAGTATTCAAATAATATTAATGTAGAAGAGGCTGGTGGGTTAATTTTAAAGTGCCTCCACCCTACCTTGTCCAACAGGGGTACAAGGACTTTCAAGTCTCTGCCCTCCAAAGCAAGATCAAACCCCAGCAATCTTCACAGACACTGGGCTTAAGTTTGTCATGTGCAGGCAGCCGTTAGACTCAAGGTCTCTGTATTCTCATCCCAAGGACCTTGTTTTCAAATCTGTATAGTTAAAAAGCAATACACCTGAAGTTAACTGTCTTAGTTAACTTGGCAAAGCAGATTTCTAAAAACATTTTAGATAGAAATAATACAACTTACCAATGTCACTAAAATCCATGTCATGGGACTCACTAGTCTATTGGTTCCATGAGAGGCAGGGCCTCTAGCTGTTCTGTTCAGTACCGTATAGCCAAAATTACACTGTGACTGCATAACAAGTATCTTCAGTGGATAGAGAAGCAGATGAATTGATGAACAGGAGAACTTACTAGATACATAAGTTATGGAATGACAACAAATGATAAAATAATAAACCTCTATCCAGCTATAATAATATAGCCTAAAGGCATCTTTTCCCATGATGATTTAATCTGTCAACTTATACATGTTATGCAAGTGTTCTACCACTGAGCTATATCTCTAGCCTTTTTCCAAAGTTTTGAGACCTTTTCCAAAGTTAAGCCACCCAGGCTAACCTCAAATTTATCATCCTCCTGTCTCAACGTCCTTAGCAACTGGGACTAAAGTCTTGAACCACCATTCCCAGTTTAAGATCACCTTCATGAAGGTGAAAACTTCCTTATGAAGGCAAGGGGTTGAGATGAAGGCAAGTAGTGGTCTAGAAAATTCCGTGCTTATTGAGTAATGCTCGGAGCTCTGTAATGGGTGGGGGCACCGAAAGTTTCAATGAGCCACTCTACATATTAGATTTGGAAAGTGTATTTGTTATTTGTCTTGTTGCTGCAACAAAATGCCTGAGAGAAGTAACCTAAGGAAGAGTTCCTTTGGTCTCACAGTTCCTTTGATCTCACTTGGCAGGGAAGGACTGACAGTGAACCACGAGGCCACTAGTCACATTGTGTGTTATCAGAAAGAGAGCCAGGTAAATGAATGTGTTCAGCTCACATCCTCCGTTTGATTCAGTGTGGAACCCAAGCCCATGGAACCTCAATTAAATCTAGAAACTCTCTCACAGACACACCCAGCCTTGTCTCCTACGTGAATCTAGGACCTGACACCTCAACAGTCAGTATTAAGCATCCCAGTGTCACCATTTACCTTCTAATGAGAAAAAATTGTGAAAATGATTAGTGTCCCAGATCAGAAAGAGATTACCTTCACAGTTACTTGTTATGGCCTCAACATCACTATCAAAACGTAAGAGGAGTGTGGTCTTCTTTTAACAGTATTGAACCCAAAGCTGTAAATCATCTTACAAATTTTCCTATAATTCTTTTTCTCTTTAGTTCATTTCATGTTTAAAGGATTTGGAAATGCTGGTGTTTTCCAATTCTGCCTGAAGTATCCAAAGAAACTTAATGACTCCAGTGTGGTTTTTCTAATGCTGTTAATGTGTCTGAATGCAGACACAGCTTGCAAATCTTGCAGGTGATGCTACTGAGAGGCCAAATTACTCACCACCCAAAGCTGAGCTTTTTTATCTTGTCTAGAGTTTGTTTTTCAAAGGCAATTCAAATAGTGAGCTCTGCTGAGAAACGGTGCCCTCCTAGTAATTATCCCCTTCACATGGGTCGTCCCATATGACATGGATAATAAATTATTTCTGAACGCCCCATGCCTTACTTACCTGAGGGGGATTACCACAGAAATATTTGAAGCAAAGGGAGGGTGTCTCACTGTGGTAGCAGCTAAATTGCTTCTAAAATAGGAAAATAATACCAGACAAACAGTTCATATATATTATGATTGGAATTGTGGTTGGAGACATGGGAAATAGAGAGGGAAGAAAGAACAAGAGGATGGAAGACCTCAACCAGACATTGAAGGCTGTCATCTTGGCTTGGAGTCTCCTAAAAGCAGATCTGAGTGCTCAGATTTGTGTGCACATTCTAGTTACAAAGTGATCACAAAAAAAGTGTTAAGAAATTGGAAAATGGGAAGGGAGAACATTAAGCCAAACAAGGTTGAATATTTATGCCACTTGCAATAGATATGGGCACCAATAAGTCCTGCTACAATGGCTTTGCAGACATTGCCATGGCTAAGACTTGGCTAAACCGACTCTCAATCACACATGAATTGGTGATTATTTGGATGACTTCAAAATCATCTTTGTTAGTTTTAGATTAACACAAATGATGACAGCATGATCTTTAATTTCCAGGGGAGAATTTTAGGCACTTCATCCCCACTGAAATGAAGATTTTAAAACCCTGAAATAACACCCTGCAGGGCCTGCTTGAAATCTTCAAGATACCTAATTCACACCAATGCTAGCTGCTAGCATCTAGCATCCTCTGATGTCACAGACAAATGTATTAACACAATGAATCTTCACAACAAGGCCATAATGTAGGTGCTATTGCTTACCTCATTGAATAATGAAGTATAGAGACTCTGATAATGTGTCCAAGGTCACAGAGACAGGAAGTGACAGAGTGTGGATCCATACCCAGACCATCTGATGTGAGAACCTGTTTGTTCAGCACAGGTTCACACAACTTTCTTCATTACCAACCATGAGTCACAACTTCCCATTAGAAATTCTCCCAGCCAATTGTGCCAGCTGCTGTAAAGTCACACCACTCTTCCTAACAACAGCACATTCACCAGCCTCTCCTGTCTGGACTGAAAGAATGGAAGAGCCCAAATCTCAGGAGCATACTGTCCTGAGTTGGGGGTGTAGATAATGGGAAGTTCATACTGAAGACAAAAAGAAGTTAATCAGAGTTCTGTCACCAGAGTTGGTGGGGTCAGAGCCTGGCTACTCTAATAAGCTAGGCTCAGCTATTCCTCTTCAATGGGCCATTACACAGACTGAAAACAAAAAGTAGACTTGTTCTGTGTGGCCCACACTGTGAAGAGAAGCAAAGACACCCGGTTACACCACCTCTACCCAGCCCATCTGTGGAGTGTGAGCATGAGCTTTAGGTTTACACAGAAGACAAGAGGTGTTCACCACGAAGTATGTGTGATCAAAGTGTGACCCTGCCCATCATGAACATATTATTGTCTGGTTTTAATCTCTCCTGCAAGATGGTCTAACAAGTTGTCGAACTGTGAGCAATCTCTCCCTGAGAGAGAAGCTCTTCCTCTGACTGGCAGGAGGTTGGGGCCTTGGGGATCATTAATAACAGTTCCTCAGGGATCATTAATTCAGTTGTCTGATAGTCAAAGGAAGGATCCAAAAGTGTCACTTTAGAAGATCTTCATTCTTGCCAGAATGGCCACACTGTCACCGAAGATAGAAGAGTCGTGAGTTCTGGAAATCAGTGAATGAGATTCAGATCCCATCTCTGCCATGATCCGTGAAACCTTGAACAAGCCACTTCATTTTCCCAGGCTCCCACTTCCCTGCCTTTCGTATCTTTGAATTGGACTGGACAATACATAAGGTTCATAGCAGCCCGGAAAATATTCTGATCCTAAAGTCAGAATATTCTCTAGATTATTTTGAGAAATGGGCACAGCCTGGATGCTGCAGTTGCCTCCATCTCAGATGCTGAATCATTTCCAAGCCACAGCCATAGACGTCTGCTGTCAGTTGTGAGTGTCAGAGACCAAACTGCAGAAGCGGGCCCCTGAAGAGCGAGTCACCAACCACACGAGGTTCCTCGCCCCATATCAGTTTCACAAGTTTGGCAGCCCCGGATGTTTCTTGTATTAGGGGAGCCTTTGGAAAAAGTATCTCAGAAAAGTCACTTTTCTTTTTATAATAATATTTATTGGTATCTACGGAGACAGGAAACAGACCACAGGTTATAAACATAGAGCAAACCTAAGTGAAATCAGAGAGCCGGCCTCGTGTTCAGCAGGCTGCCCTTGTTTGTAATTCACCTTTTGTGATGAACATTGCTGACCGTACGCTAAAGCAGAGACACCCCTATAATGAGTCCTCATGGAATTTATGGCCAGTCTTGTCTCATCTCCATGCCATCTAATGCCCCAGCTCTGGATAATTTCGAGGCAAATTCCACCATCACATTTTGTCAGCTATAAAGTACCTCAGTATGTAGCTCTAACAGATGAGCACTCCTTTTGAAAGCATAGCCACAGGCCGTCATTACAGGTTTTAGAAATTGTCCTTTAGAATCTTTTTAAAAAATTGACCAATTGTTTTGTTTGTTCTTGAGGTTTTTTTTTTTTAATGATTTGTTTATTTTCAGATGTGGGGCGATCTCATATGTAGCCCAGGCTAGCCTCAAACTCAGTATCCTGTTTCTGCCCCCCCTTTCCTATCCAGTACTAGGATTACAGGCTATCCACCAACACTGGCATTTTAACATCAAACAATATTCTACATTCAATTTTTCCCAATCGTCTTGTTTTCTTAACAAGAAACTTACTCAGTTCAGAATCCAAATGTTCCCCATATTTGAAGCAGATTTATATGAATGTGCTATTGAATATATACTATGAATATTGTCATGTTTTCCCTTGAGATTTAATCATTGAGGGAATGAGGTCATTCATGACATAGTTTCCCAGGGTGATATTTACTACTGCAAATCAGTGTCATTAAGAGTACTCCTTTCTGGGTTCTACCTTCCATGGAGTGACAGTGTCTGGAGTGGATGCTTCGGTGGGTGTGATTGTCTCTCCGTCAGGACGCTGGTGACTACCTCCTGATTCTTGAGAAATGACAACAGTTACTGACTTTGCCTATATCCTTCTTGCTTTAGGATGCTCCTTCTTGTTGTATTGCACTTTTTTCTATGCTTTTACTGTGGATAATAGATGAGAGTTGGGGTTGTGTTCATTGTTATATGGCAGATAGACTGTTTTTGAAAAAAAAATACAGCAAGCTCATGTTGGTTCTTGTCATTTGAAACCAGGCCTACTGGGGATTTATTTAATTTTACCTTTTCATTCATATGCATGACAAGATGCGCAAATGCTCATTTGCTTTCTAATACTGTACACCCAGAATGATCTCAAAATGTCAACATCTGTGCTATCTCACAAATTATGTTTACTAGACACCTTGGAGTGGTTATTTCTCATGTGAGGAGGTCTGCTTATTTATGTTTTGCAGAAAGTTTTTTTTAAAGATATACTCCATTAAGAATTTATAGTTAGGGGCTAGAGATTGCTTAGTAATTAGAACACTTCTTGCTCTTGCAGAGGAACCAAGTTCAGTTTCCAGAACCCACAGGGTGGTTCACAGTCCTCTGTATCTCCAGTTCCAGGGCATCCAGTGACCTCTTGTGGCCTCCTTGAGCAGCATTCATCCATGTGGTGCACACATACATAGATGCATGCAAAACACTCACACGTAAAATTATTGTGACCTTGTCACTTAAGTTTCAGATCAAATCTACCAAGCATGACAGACCTAAAGGAATGTGACTTTGACCACAGTGCTATTGCTTCCCTTTCTGTGGGTAGCTGTCTCTATTTTATGAAACTTCGTTTTTCTCTATTTAGAAAAACACTAGAGAAGAGAAGGAGGTAGAGAGAATTTAAAAGTAGGAGATTGGGGGATTGCTGTGAAATGCTGTCCTATGGACATTCATTCCATGGCTATTGCTCTCATGGATTCACAGCAGCTGGGGTTGCCTGCATAAGACCTTCATAAGACTAAGCCAGCTATCCTGGCACCACTCCTAACCCAGGAGCTATTGGCAGTTGATAGCTTCTGGGAGAGGGAGAGTCATTCTCTGGGGATGTGGCCACCTATAAATTGTCCATGCTCCAGTGGATTGCTCCCCACCCATGCACATATGGGTAACAAATAATAACAACAATAATAAAAGTAATGATAATTTTTGTTTTGTCCTTTTAAATTTTAATTTTTAATTTATACTTTTATTTATACCTTATTAGAGTACAATTTATATATTTTTCCCTCCCACCTTTGTATGTTTGTGGGTATAGGTGTGTTATGTGCAAGTGTTCACATGTACAAAAGTGTATGTAGATTGCATGTGTATGTGTGTGAAGGTACATGTGGAGACCAGAGTTTAATATTGGGTGTCTTCATCAGTCACTCCCCATTTACATTTTTAACTTTTTTATTTAAATTCTTTAATTACTACTCATATCCATCCCCCCCATTCCCTCACCCTCCCATCCTCCCATGTTCCCCCCAATCCCCCCAACCCATCCCCCAACTCAAGAAAGGGTCTCTCACTGGTCCTGGAGCTAACCAGTTTAGTTAAGACTAAGTGACTAGCAAGTTCCAGGCATCAACCTGTGTCAGCCTCCACAGCACTTTGTTTGTTGCCATTTTATTGGCCTTTTAGATGGGCACAGGATGTCATGCTTGCTCAGAAGTGTTTTACCTACTGAACCAATTCCCCAGTCTCCCATACTTTTAAAAGATAAACCACAGCCATATACAGAAACCTTCACTTCTTATCACTAGATGGGATGAAATGTATGGATGTAACAGTCATTTATTCAGTCGGTCTTCTAGTGATGGACATTTGGCTTAGTTCTAGTCTTCGGTTCCAAATAATGCATCTATTTTTTTCTGTTTCATTTGGTAAATTTCTCACATGGGTGAGAGACAAACTCCTTTTGCCTCAATTCCCAATCCTTTAAGTCCTCATTTTGTTTTCCTAAGGTCGGGGACAGAATCTGGCACATGGTAGATGCTCAAGAAATGTTTGTTGAGCAAAGAACTCAGCCATTTGTGTATACAGCTTAAGAGGATACCAGTTAGTTGTGTGAATAGAAACAGGGAGGGGGCTAGTGTCCATGCACAAGTCTGTGACTATTGTATACTCAGATACACACTTATTTCCTTTCCTTTCCTTTTCTTTTTTTTTTTGGGGGGGGAGTGGTTTTTCAAGGCAGGGTTTCTCTTGTAGCCCTGGCTATCCTGGAACTACCTTTGTAGACCAGGCTGGCCTCAAACTCATAGAGAACTTTCTGCCTCTGCCCCCTGAGTGCAAGAAGTCACCTAAAACACCATGACTCCCAAACCTTCTCTTTGCTAACATATTATGAAAGCTTACTTGGGTTTTTGTTTTTGTTTGTTTGTTTTACTTATGTAACCCAAAACCTCTTGAAGCTCATCAACCTGCTTCCACACCCTAAGTGCTCACACAACCGGCCAGGAAAGAATGTTTTCATTTCCCTTCTGCTATGGTCTTGTGTGATTTGAGAAGCTCCCAAGACACCAGGGTTAAAGGATTACTTCTAACATGGGTCTGTTAGAAGATAATTAAAGCTCTGGGTTCTGGGTCTACGTAGAGGGTAAGCTAATTCTTTTGTGACTTCTCACTCTTTCCTGTTTCCTTGCTCAAGATGTGACTACTTACCCCAATATGAGCTTCTGCCATTGCTACCTGATGTCACCATCACCATAGGTCCCTCACCAGAACTAGGCCAGTGCACACATCACTACACCTCCAAGACTGTAAGGTAAATGAAACTCTTTTCTTCATAACTACCCTGTCTCACGTATTTCATTCTAGTGAACACAATGAGTACCACTGAAGAGTTGAGGGTGATGTAGTTCTCCCATGGCACTTTTAATACTTCATTGTGCTACTATTTATTTTCATGAAGTATAGTTTTCCCTGATGGAATGTAAGCTCTCCATAAGCAGAGATCAAATCTCTCATCTTGTTCTTTGCTCTTTCCTCCATGCCCCGCACTGAGTCTGACACATGGTAGGCATTCTAGAAACATTTACTGGTGGGAAAATGTGTGAATCAAGGGGTTTAAAAGGAAACTTATTTGTTTCTTTGAAAGAGGGTCTCATTCTATATTTCAGGCTGGCATGAAACTCTCAGCAATGCTTCTACCCCAGCCTCTCAAGTGCTACGATTACAGACATGAGTCTCTATGCCAGGCAGGAAAACTTTTCCTATTGCAAACCAAAGTCATTATGTAGCAAATCTACTTTTAAATCTCCCCGTGCAACATCTTCTGGCAGCGTTTCAGTTAAGAAAGAGAAGACACACCCTCTCCATGGCCAACTTGAGGTAGAAACCCAGGTTTTCCTTGCAGTCTCCCTCAACAACCACAGGGAAGAGGTCTGTCATCCTTATGGGCAGTAATGACAGTTTAGAGTCCAACTAGGCTGACACAGACACACAGGGATGAATTATTAGTTACTTCTCCCCACATGCCCTATTAGCACCATAGGAGAAAGGGGGTTCTCTACCCCTTCGGAGGAATGGTGGCCCCAGACTCCAGCAGAGCATTTGGGAAGGTTCATTGTAATCTGGGTAGAAGGCAAAGGTTGTCACATGCTTTCTGCTTGCCTGGCAAGGAAAGTGGGTACCTTTTTTGTTTGTTTGTTTGTTTGCTGTGTTTGGCTATAGAAATGAAGTTATTGCTTATAACCTTTCTGTCTTGTTCACCTGCTCCTTTCTTGGTCCTTTGACTAAAGATTTTGCTGGGGTTTGTTTTTGCTTTGCTTTGTTGCTGCTTATGTGTACATTTCTGTTTTAAGGGTGCTGGCTTCCTCATCAGTAAGTCTGGAGGCATAGGACACAGAAGTAACTCGAGCCTGCCATTAACTTCCTTAGGCTCCCTATATCTATCTAGTCTACTCTCTCCAACTTTCAATCTCCTTTTTAAAATTTGAATATACAGAGATAACCAATTCTTTGTGTCCTTGTCTTACCAACTGAAAAAATAGAGTGGATGAACACTGAAGGGTGAACAAATGAGAAATTTGTTCATACAAAAAGATAGAGTTCAGAAACTCTCAGCAGCAGTAGGGTGCCTAATGAGTGGGAGAGGCTGCCAGCAAGCATTACAGTTGTTCTGTTACAGTTCTTTGCTCTCAGTGGGCCTTAGGATGCCAACCAATACCAGTCCTCAGAAGAACAAGCCTGTGGAGAGCAAGTCCCTGATGAGAAGCAGGTCTCTGAGGCAGAAGCAGTCTTCCTCATTTGACAAGGGATCAAGAAGCCTGACAATCAAAATCCTATGTGCCAGGTTTATAAAGGCCTAGGTGGGTCCTGACTGGCAAGGTGTATTGTCAGTATGCAAATGAGGTGAAGAATAAAAACCAATCAGGAATGAGACTGTGAGAGAGAAGCTGACAAATGGATCTCCAATCAGGTTAGCAGCTCCATTTCCATGGCTGCCTTGCCAGGTACAGGGAAGTAGACTCTAGGCTGTTAGGAGAGTGCTTGCTACAAAACAGGTGGTGCCCTGGGGGAATTCTTACTCCAGCTGTTGCAGATTTTTTCATCTATTCCTGATTCCAGATGATTCTGGGAAAGCAGCCCATGGCCAGCTCTTTGTTTTCTGATGCTCTCACGGGGGTTGGGGGGGGGGGACTGTGTTCTAATCCATATGCACAGTAGGAATAAGTAAAAGCATACATGCCCCAGGAGAAAATAGAGAACAGTTTATTTACTCCATTTTCTCAGATGTAGAAATCTGAGGCTGTAATTTTAAATCCCTCTTTGTTAACAATAATGTGTGAAGCAATATTTAATTTTTCTTACACTGAACAAAATCTCATTCATGTATTTGTCAATTCAATGATAATTCATAGTTGTCTTACTATATGCCCAACTCTCAAAGCCTACCTCCACAGTGACACAATTCCTCCAACAAGACCACACTTACTCCAAAAACCATACTTCTTAATAGTGCCACTCCCCTTGGGAGCTATTTTCAATCAGACCACCACACTCTATCTTGAAAAACTGAAAAAAAAAATTTAAGGAAGAGTAATCTTCCAGATGGATAACAGGGAACATCACTATAAACAAAAAAAAAAAAAAAAGAGCCTGAAAAAAAGAAAAGGCCTTGAAAGAAAGGAACAGCATTCATTGAATAGGAAAAAATCGGTGAGAGAGGGAACTGCAGATCAAGATCACGTAAGGTCTGCACAAAAGGCAGTGCTGAAATTTTCCTTAATAAAAGGATTACACTGCATGGGTGGAAAAGCCTTCACATTTCCCCTTGAAGAACTTAGTCTCTTTCTCCAGTTGCTTGTTTAGAATTACTCTTTAGAGGTATAAAAAGTGGTCAAATTTATAGAATTGAAGAGAAGAAAGGTGGGTCCTGTTGGCTGCAGGAAGGATAATGTGGAGTTCCCCACCAACTAGCACAAACTTCCCATCCAATGAGTATGCTCTAAAGATCTACCTCACATGGACCTACAGTCAACAGCAATGCATTATACTTGTCATTTATTAAGAAGATGGGGGCAATCTCATGTTAGTGTTCTTATCACAATAATTTATTTTTCAAACAATACCTTCTTTATCCAGCCAAAGCCCATTTTAGTCAACAGTTTGTTGGTTCCAGGGTCCTGGGACATTACCACAATCACAACCTAAGAAAGCTAGGCCCACTGCATTTCTTTCAACCAATTAGTGGTCTGTCTAGGTCAGCCAATAACTCAAAGTCCCAGAAACAGTTTGCCATGGAGTTTATTTGTTTTACTGCTGCCCTGAAAATAAAATAAAGGAGTAAGAAAGTAACAGAACAAAGATATAGAAAAAAGGCTTTAAACTAAGGCTCTACCCTTAATCTTATCACAAGTAGGAGACCCATTTACAAAGGATGTGGCCTGAAATTGATAGGCTGCAGCCAGAACAAGACGTTCATCTGACAAGCCACAGAGGCAGCAGCTGTAATTGAAGGGGAGATTTGGCCCTCTAATACCAACCAGTATTGTTGCTGTGGACTCTCTTGGACTGGCTGTCCCCCTAGTGTGGGTAATTTGATGACCACTTGACCCTAAGGCAGGGCCACAAGCCCCTCTTTTATTAGATCTACATTAATGCTCATGCTTTAGGGAGAGGAGGCTGGAACTAACAACAAAGACTCCAGAACATTTTCCCAGAGCTACAGGCTAAACCTCTAAGTTATGACAGTAGTCATAAAATATTTGTTGAGTGTGTAAGCTCGTAATTTAGAAGACTCAAGAGGAGGAAATCTCAAGAGAAGCCAAGTATTTTTACATGATTTTGCTTATTATGTTCTTTCTTTCCTCCTAGTGCTCCAAGATTCCTTCTTCTATCTTTTCTTTTCTCTTTAGAGAACTTCCTAGCGTGTGCTATGCTGTTAGGATACTTCTCATGGCCATGAACTGTCTTTGGTAGATATAGGCATTTTTACTGGATAAAGGAATCTTGACTGACACTTTTTTTTCTCCCTGGTATCACTTCCTTCTGAGTCCATGGCTTTTGAGGAGAAACCAACAGTCATTTGAATTACTTTCTTCTTTTATTGCTTCAAAATATCCTTATCTCTACTTTTAGAAGTGTGTGTGTGTGTGTGTGTGTGTGTGTGTGTGTGTGTGTGTGTGTCAATCACAATGGGGAAAGCATGATGACAGGAGCATGAGTCAGCTGGTCACATTGAATTCACGGTCAGGAAGCAAACAGAGATGAATGCTGACACTCATTTTGACTGGGTCCAGAACCCCAGCCCACCAAATAGTGCTGCTGACACTCAAGATGGGTCGTCCCACCTCAGCTACATCTCTCTAGAAATGCCCTTACAGACACACCCAGATTTGTCTCCTTGGTGGTTCTAAATCCAGTCAACTTGACAATGAAGGTTAGCCATCAGGCAGATTGTGTGCCAATGGGTTACAAATGTGGCAGCCCTTGCAGAATAAAGATAGCAATAGGAATGCTTCTGGGCATGCTCAGTTTTCTATGAGAAAGTGAAAGGACAAGATACTTTGAAAGTGTGTTAATATAGGAGTTTTCCCTTAAAGGTGCTTGTCTCAGTTAGCAGCTAGCAACTGGAGACCTGGATGGTTAGGAAAGGCAGATATTTTTTATCTAACAGATCAGTGTTATGATGTGGATATGGAGTATCCCTCCTAAGGCTGTTGGTTTGAAAGCTTTGTCCCTAGCTGGTGGAACTATTGAGAGGTGGCTGGATGATGAAGGCATTGGCATCAGTGAGTTAGCAAAGTCTTAAATTCATACTGAAAGGTCAGTAAGAAAAAGGGTGAGGGTGGAGGAGGCAGATCAACTGAAACACAATAAAATATGAAACTTTGGAGACACCAATTGGATACAAACAGGAAATTCCACACTTGATCTTATGTGTCAATTCGCAACCAAAATGCATATTACATAAATTAAGTTTAAGCTGTCTGTATAATATGTATGAAACACAAATGAAGGTCAGACTTAGACTTAAGTCCAAGTCTCAAGAGGTCTTATGAATATAGATATTTCAAAATCAGAAAAACATCCAATATTGAAACACTCATGTACCATGTCCACATAGATTTGTAACTTTTTTACATGTTTTTAGTTATATGTCCTGTGACATGGGTCCCAAGCAATAGCAATAGCTGTGCTTGATCTTAACTGCTGAGCTTTCTCCAGCCTCAGGTTTGTTTCAGCCAGGCTTAAAAAGACAAACATAGATTCTTACATTCCGCCGCCGAAGACTGACCTGGAACTAGGTGAGTGA